AATAGTCTTATGTTACTTCTGTGGCGTGAAGTTGCTTGCTTCAATGTAATTTGTGACATTTGTGTTTCTCTGGACCTCAGCTTCCTCATCCGAACCTCCTTGAACCCTTATCAGGGCTGGAGCCTGAGATCAGGCACCTGATTGGCCAGGAAATCCTTCTTACCTGATTCCCCTCCCTGGTTCACAGAGAACAGCTCCCCGAGTCAGCCTACATGCACCAGCTCTTAGGTCTCAACCTCCTCTTCCTGCTGTCCCAGAACCGGGTGGCTGAATTCCACACGGAGCTGGAGCGCCTGCCTGCCAAGGACATCCAGACCAACGTTTACATCAAGCATCCTGTGTCCCTGGAGCAAGTGAGTCTGGGGCAGAGGCGGGGGAGGGCCTGGCTGAGGGAGCTGTGTGAGGACAGACATTGGGAGGGTTTCTCAGAGGAGCTGTCGGTTCTCTCATCCTCATCCTACAGCCTCATTCACATCCTGAGCCCTGGCTGTGTGACAGGCACTGGGCTGGGTTTACAGACTGAAAATCAGATAAAGTCCTAGGCCTTATAAAGATGGCGAGGAGGGGAGGAAGTAGACAGTGAGCCAAAAGAGTGAGCAAAGCTGTGTGATCTGTCAGATATCAGGAAAAAAACTTAGTAGGAAATGGTGGAGACTCTGGGAAGGGGTGAAGATTTCTGTGGAGTGAGATCTGAGGACCAGAATGTGACCCGTGGTGAGAAGTGAACCATGGTCAATCCAAACAGAGGGACCTGTCAGTTTTAGATGATTGAAGGCCAAAGTCTGCTGTGTTTGAGGCGCAGCAGAGAGGACAGTATGTAGAGTGAAGCGAACAGGGCCTGGGAAGAACCCTCAAAGCTATATGAGGAAATGGTTTCTCTAGCCCAGGTCCCTGAAGGAAGTGACTTGGGGGTGCAGGTAGGTGGCAGCACAGTCCAGCCTGGATCTAGCCTTGCCTTCTATCACAGAAGAGATAATGGGAACCAGCCTTGAGCTGGCTGGGAGAGCACGTGTGTGTGTGTGTGTGTGTGTGTGTGTGTGTGTGTGTGTGTGTGTGTGTGTGTGTGTGTGTGTGTGTGTGTGTGTGTGTGTGTGTGTGTGTGTGTGTGTGTGTGTGTGTGTGTGTACGCACATGTGCGTCCATTTATGTGCAGAGCTTCCTGAAAAGAAGAAGAATGTCACCTGCTACGAATGGGTGACTGTATAGCAAAGGGTGCCTGGTGGCATGGGGACTGGGGTTAGGGGGTGTACAGGAGTTCAGGAAGACCCTGTGCTGTCTTTTCACCCTCTTCCTTCTCACCTGTAGTACCTGATGGAGGGCAGCTACAACAAGGTGTTCCTGGCCAAGGGGAACATCCCCGCTGAGAGCTATACCTTCTTCATCGACATCCTGCTTGACACTATCAGGTGAGGGCTGGGCCCATGGGATTCAGAGAGAGCTTGGACTTAACGTGAGTCCTGTCCTGGCTGGTTATGGCCAAGTGGGCTGGGCTGGATTCCTATCCTCCCATTTCCAGTAGGACTGGAGTGGTGTGGGCAGCGGCCCCTCTCTTGCCCAGGCTGTTTATATATAGAAGGACAATTTGTGTCAACCTTGAGCCAGGGTATGACTGACAGCTCCACAAGCAGGGCCATCTTGCCTCTGAGAAGTGCTGTGGACATTCGTGGGTTTTCTTTGTTAATGTGTTTGCATGGACCTAAGCGTAGTGCTGGGGTGGAGTCACATCCCCAGCCTTCTAAGGTATTTTCCATTATGAAGGAGTCGTTAATGTGACTGTCCATACCTGTCTAGAGAGGGACTTGCCTTTTACTTTTTTGGCTTGCTGGTGTTTGTTTTTTTTTCTTTTTGTCATCAATCGTGGGGCTTGAACTCTGAACCTGGGTGCTATTCCTGAGCTCTTCAAGGCTAGTGCTCTACCACTTGAGCCACAGCATCACTTCTGGCTTTTTCTGCTTATGTGGTGCTGAGGAATCGAACCCAGGGCCTCATGTGTCTAGGCAAGCACTCTTATCACCAAGCCACCTTCCTAGCCCCGGCAGCGATTTTTTTTTTTTTTTTGTCTTTTAAGATATTTTGTGATGTCTAAGCTGACCTTAAACTTACCATACTACCTCTGCCTCCTGAGTGCTGGGATGGATTATAGGCATGTTCCCCATGCCTGGCCTTGTTGTTTACTTCTGCACTGTTCATGCTCCCCGGTCAGTCATGGGGCTTGAACTCTGGCCCTGGGTGCTGTCACTCAGCTCTTCAGCTCAATGCTAATGCTTGAAAGCCACAGGCCACTTCTGATTTTCTGAGTGGTTTATTGGAGATAAGAGTCTCATGACTTTCCTGCCCGGGTTGGCTTTGAGCTGCAATCCTCAGATATCAGCCTCCTGAGTAGCTAGGATTACAGGCATGAGCCACTGGTGCCTAGCCATGCTACCTTTTGATGGGTCTTTTTTTTTTTTTTTGTCAGTCCTGGAGCCTGAACTCTGGGGTGCTGTCCCTCAGCTTTTCAGCTCAAGGCTAGTGCTCTACTACTTGAGCCACAACGCTACTTCTGGCTTTTTCTGCTTATGTGGTGCTGAGGAATTGAACCCAGGACCTCATGCATGCAAGGCAAGCATTACCACTGAGCCACCTTCCCCACCTGAAGTGTGTCTTACTTGAAGAAATTGTATCAGGTTAATCTCAAGCTGGGTTTCAGGCAGCCTGAGGCCCTCATGCCTGGGTATGGGATTCAGAGCATGTACCTGCTCTGTTGCCTCCACAGCCCCAGTAACCAGATCTAGAGTGGGTTCCCTGAGGCCCTGGCCTGGTCTGTGGCTCTCGTCAAGTCCTTGCCCATTTTCTGAGCCTCCATCAGTGAACTAGGGCAGTGACAGGGCCAGTTAGCCATCAGTGCTAACCGGCAGGGTCAGAACCAACCTGAGTCAGGCGTGGGAGGACAGTCTGAGTGGCTGTCAGTGTTCAGTAATGAGAACTCATCTTCCCTCTAGGGATGAGATTGCTGGGTGCATCGAGAAGGCCTACGAGAAAATCCTCTTCACTGAGGCTACCCGGATCCTCTTCTTCAACACACCAAAAAAGATGACAGACTATGCCAAGAAGGTGGCTGGGGTACAGGGCAAGGGGCTCTGGAGCCAAGGGTTGCACTCTGTCAGTACTTCAATGAGCAGTGGAGTGGTCTAGAGGAAATTGGACTGCCCAGGGTTCAATTCAAACCTCACCCAGGTTGCTAAGCCTCTCAGAGCTTCAGTTTGTCTGTCAATGGAAGGGATAAGTTTAGCATCTGGCACCAGGTGAAGGGTGCTCTCTTCATATTGGCTTTTATCCTTATCAGCATTCCTTTAGAAGTGGCAGCTTTTCCCCATAAGCCTCTGCTTCATTTGGTTTGGAACATTTGTGCAGGTACAGTACTGGGTACATAGTTACCCTGGTGTTTGGAAATAGGGTCAAGAGCAGACAGCTGGGCACTGGTGACTCATGCCTGTAATCTTAGCTACTCGGAAGGTCCAGAGAATTGTGGTTCAAAGCTAACCCTGCCAGAAAAATCAAGCGGCTATCTCCAAAGTAAACAGCAAGATGCTGAGTTGGAGGTCTGGCTCAGTGGCAGAGCACCTGCCTTGTAAGCAAGCTGGGCAAGCACCAAGGCCATGAGTTGAAACCCTAATTTGTTTTTTATTTTTTGAGCCAATCCTGGGGCTGGAACTCAGGGCCTGAGCACTGTTCCTGCACTTTTTGCTCAAGGTTAGCATTCTACCATTTGAGCCACAGTACCACTCCTGTATCTGGTACTGAGGAATCGAACCCAGGGCTTCATGTATGTTAGGCAAGCACTCTACCACCAAGCCACATTCCAGCCCACCCTAGTATTTTTGATGTCTCAATTCACTAAACTCTTAGAGCAGACCCAGATAGGAGTATGACTAAGGCCTTGTCTCCAGCATGAAGAAATTGAGGCACAGTAAAGTTCCTTGCCAATGTTGTGGGGCTAGAGGGAAGATGAAGTGAGCCATGACATGCATGAGTTGTGGCTCCATGGGGGTAAGGAGTGAGTCTTTGGGGTCACCCTACTCATCTTCAAAACCTCTTTCTGCAGCGAGGATGGGTCCTGGGTCCCCATAACTACTACAGTTTTGCCAGCCAGCAGCAGAAGCCAGAAGACACTACCATCCCCTCCACGGAACTGGCGAAACAGGTCATTGAGTATGCCCGGCAGCTGGAGATGATTGTCTGAGGCCCGTGGCCTGGGCTGAGCGCCCAGGATGGGCAGGACATACATGGCTGTTCAGTCCTGGTGCAGCTTTCCTCCAATAAAGGTGGATTGACCTCACTTCCAGGCCCTTGTCTCCCCAGTTGGGATGGCGGGGAGACAGCCTGGGAAACTTGGAAGCCTGGGTTCTCTCTTGGGGGTTGCTAGTAACACCCCCTCCAGCCTGCCTGTCTAGAGGCTATTCATTGCTCCAGGCCTCAAGCACAGGCCCCCACATGTAGAGGGATTGTTAAAGCCTGCTCTGGACACAGTGCTGGGCCAGGACATCACAGTGGGTAATGTCCCAAGTTTTTAAAGTGTTGACAGTGAAATAATTTTTAAAATGTGACATGAAATGGACCCCATCTGTGGGCTGCTAGTGTGAGCCATCTGGAACAGAAGTTATAGGCCCTTGTGTGGATATATGCCTGCACCCCTCTTCTGAGGCGTCCCTGTGGCCTGGGACCTCTCCACCTACCAGCTTGTTAAAGTTGAGTCCAAGCCTGGCTGAGCCATTTGTGCTGACTCAGTTCTCCCCACTGTTGCCTTGGGAGTGGTCTCTCCAGAGTGACTTGGGCTCATCTCGAAGCTTGGCACCAGACAGCACCCGTCACTGGTATTAGGGAGTGAGTACTCCCCCCCCCCCCCCAGTAGATGCTAGCTTGAATCCCTGTCACTTAAGTCCCAGTGGTGACTTGACAGGCAAGGAGGCTGGAGTTACTTTATTAGCATCGAGGGGCAAGCAAGGGCGTTGAGACCACGCTCAGTTGGAATGGGTGGTCTGCAAGTCGTAGTGCTCCAACCCAGCTACCAGCGAGCCGGCCAGCTTGATGGTGGCGACCCAAGGTGGCTCACTCAGGTGGTTGGTGGGTGTCCTCAGCCTGGGAAGAGGGAAGAATGGAGGCCTGTTTATGACCAGCTTCACCTTGTTGGATGGAGAACTCCTTTTGGGGGCCTGCAGGGTGGGGGCTTGCTTTCCCCTGAAGGCTGGCAGAATAAGGCAGTTTAAGGCAGAGCTACATTCGCTTAAGTACCGAAAGATGCTGCAGGTTGATGGTGGGTCCCTAGCTGAGCCCCTAAGTGTCCTGCTAGTCTCAGGGATTGTGTTCGAGAACCAGGATCAGACTGGTCGTCCAGATGAGTGGGGAAGGCCGCCCGCCACACGCAGGAACTCATGGAACCTTTGCAGCACAAGGGCTGGAACAGCAGTGCCCTCTGGTGGTCAGAGGCTAGCGGTTCCGGAGCTTGAGGGGCTAGGCCAAGGGCTCTCTTTGTTCAGAGTTGCGGGGAGGGGGTAGTCCTGTCTTGTTGGTTCTGGGAGGGCAAACTTCGCCTTTGCGCCCTTAGGGGCAGGCTTAAGCGTCCAGTCCCTCCCTCATGGCCCCGGAGGGAGATGCTCAACCTGGAGGTCTGTGCCAGTGCTCCCCTAGTTCCTTATTACGCGGGTCCAGCCAAGTTTGGCATGTGGGTAAGAGGGTCTAGGGGAGCGTGCCCTCCCCTCCCCGCTTCCTGACCTCCCTCACCAAGCAGACACGTTGCGCGGCAGGCGGCGATGGCGGGGCTGGTGGCGGCAGTAACACTTGCAAGGACAAGAGTTGAGCACCTGGAAGGGCGGCCAGTGGTGCACAGCGCCTTTGTTACCTGCCCCTGAAGAGGCCCCGCTGCTGCCGTCCATGGTGGAGGCCCGGTCTCCAGGTGTGCCGTCTTCGCGGGCTGCGCCTCGGGCTGCGCGGGAGCCCTTGTTCCTGCGCGTACGAACCTTGGCGGGCGCGGGCGCGGGCGCCAAAGGTTCAGTGGCCACGGG